CGACGCGGCCAAGCACAGGCTGCTGGTGCTGGTCAAGGACAATGGCGAGCCCGCGCTGTCTGCCAGCGTCACGCTGCACGTGCTGCTGGTGGATGGCTTCTCGCAGCCCTACCTGCCGCTGCCGGAAGTGGCGGCCGACCAGGCGCAGGCCGACCCGCTGACCGTGTACCTGGTCATCGCGTTGGCGTCGGTGTCGTCGCTGTTCCTGTTCTCGGTGCTGGCGTTCATCGCGGTGCGGCTGTGCAGGCGGAGCAGGGCCGCCTGGGTGGGTGGCTGCTCGGTGCCCGAGGGCCACCTTCCGGGCCACCTGGTGGACGTCAGCGGCACAGGGACCCTGTCCCAGAGCTACCAGTATGAGGTGTGTCTGATGGGAGGCACAAGGGCCAGCGAGTTCAAGTTCCTGAAGCCGATTCTCCCCAACTTCCCTCCTCAAGAAACTTGGGAAGGAAATGAAGGAAAACCCTACTTTTCGGAATAGCTTCCCATTCAGTTAAGTATTGTATGATTCTGCTAAACCCTACTTAACAAGTTTGAAAATCTCTTTTAACTTAAAGTTACATGTTATTGATGGTCCCTTTTTTTATTATTTTACTACTGTTCCTTAGGGTAAAATTAAAAGAAATTCAGATATTGCATATACACAGCATTTTTCCTACATTACGCTTAGTAGTTTTGAAATTATATTTGACTATATTTGACAATCTGAATAAAAAGTAAATTTTTACTTGCATAATTTAAAATTTTTGAAATTTAATCATCTATCTCTTTTTACAAAAATTATATTCCAACGTCCTTAAGTGTGATTCTATTTCTAACTATTGGTGACAACAGTATCACTATTGCTATGTAGAGAAAAATTTTAAATGATTGTTATTATTTAATCTGCCAGTGTAAGTCTGATTTAGGGGTAACACCTATAGTGTGATGAAATAAAGATATACACTAAAGAGGGCTAAATAACAAGATAGCCAGTCATATTTATGTATATTTCAGTAACCATAATAGTCAATACATATTTTCTGTGAATATAGACTTTACAAAACTGTCATCACATTTAATTGCAGTTTGTGAGCTTCATGTAAGAATAGGATGATCTTTTTAAAACACTGACCAGACCAATTATAAATGCTTAACAAATATTTTCTGAATGTTAACATTCCTATAGTGAATAAATTTTCAAGGGATACAGAAATGCTAACATTCTTTCTACACTATAGTACCCTTGCCAATAAGTGAAATTATTAAATATCACTCTTTTACTTTTCCTCTAGAAAACATCTTCCATTAACCCAAAACTCTATTGCAGAACATAAAATGCTTGAGAGTACATTTTATTTCCTTGTCTTTATCCAACTATTTGAAAGATGTAAGGTATTATATTGTTTAGTAAAATCCAAATCATATTTTTCAAACTCCTCCTCCTAGTTTCTTAAACTTTTATATATGTAATATCTGCTGAGAACTAAATAAGTTTTTAGTGCCAGTTTATTGGAGAATGTCAGTTTTTCCCTTCCTGTTCTGCATATGCATTATTTATATTTATTAACCATAAAATCATTTACTTTAATAGTTTAACTATATTTGGTCTTATTTGTGTTGGTTATGTTTTATGAAAAAATTCCTCTTTTCAATTTTCCATCAAAGTTAGGCAATTTACACTAAAGTGACAAGTGAGTGAAAATTTCATTTTTTAAAAATATTTTATTGATTTCAGAGAGGAAGGGAGAGGGAGTGAGAGACAGAAACCACAATGATAAGAGAGAATCATTGATCAGCTGTCTCCTGCATGCCCCACACTTGGGATCAAGCCCAAAAACAGAGCCTGAAACCCTGGGCATGTGCTCTGACAGGAATTGAACTATGACCCCCTGGTTCATAGGTCTACACTCCACCACTGAGCCACACCAGCTGGGCAGAATATCTTATTTTTATCCTTAATTAAAATGGAAGTGGGCGTAACTAAATTATGTTTGTCTGTGTTTTGTATCCAAATAAGTGAACTGCCATGGCTCTTATGTCATGGATGATCACCAATTGGTTCAATGAGTGTAGGGAACACTTACTGTTTTGTATTCCCATATATTTACCTTTTCCTTGGAATAGCATTCTTCCTTGGGGGAAACTGCTTATTCTGACATTCTCACTCCAACTCCCAAGGCTTTAGTTGATGCAGCGGTGTTTTTCAATAGCCCTATCTCTATGGTCCCAGGGGATGGACTCTTATCAAAGCTGACAGGTCAAACCCCTTCCCTGGAAAGTATATCTTTGACTGCATTGACTTTATGCCTTCTCCATGTTCTTCCAAAGACATTGCCTGAACTCATAGCTTATAGTGACTTCTAATAAAATAAATGGGCATTTTCTCTGAACGTTACAGGCTGTGCACACAAGGAGTTTATGAAGGAAAAAAATTCTCAAAGGCTATGTAGCTCAAAGACTGACAATACAACATCTCCCCTCCCCCCCAGGAGATACAGGTACATTCCCATTTGTTTGGATTTAAAAATTCATAACTTCTAACACAATAGAACAAATTAGTATTTTGGTAATAGAATGTTAGCTCCTCAAGAACAAGAATTTTTGTGTTTCCCGTTTCATCTCCAGAAGCTAGGAAATTTTCTGCACAGTGAAATGCTTATTGAATGACTCAATGAATTTGTCTTCAGCCGAGTTTTGAATAATGAAATTGTACCTTTATAAAGAAGATGAATATAGATAAATAGGTATTACTTTGCTCTCACAACTACTGCTAGCTACCTGAACAACACTGCATAATAGGTGAGGGGGAAAGGAGTGCCCAAAAAGGCATTCAGCGCGTTTTTTTTCTCTTACATTGTACTTTGAAATGAAAACTACCTGAAGTTGTAAAACAGAACGCTGGGTGGCGCTGCAGGACAAGAGAGTAAAAACCTCTCCACGATTCCAAGACTACGTAAAGCCGTAAAGCCGTCTCCGACAGCTTGCAAAGGAAGCATTTTACACCACCGGAGCTAGAGGGTTTCAGAGAGGCCGCTACCCCCATCCCCACGTCAGTCAATGTTAGGAACTGACTCAAGATTATTGAACTAAGATAGCAGAGTTGGCTGCAAAGCAATCATTTTGTGATTTAATACTGGATCTTTTGGACAAGGAGGAAGGATGGAGACGCCGCTCCCCAAAGCGCCCCGGAAAAGGCAAGTGACCGCCATTATTATTCTATTACTATTGTGGGAGGCGGGCGGTGCGACCATTAACTATTCCGTTCTAGAAGAGAGGGAGAGCGGCTCTTTTGTGGCCAACCTCGCAAAAGATCTGGGTCTGGGCTTAGGGGAGCTGGCCGCGCGTGGCGCCCGGATTCTATCCAAAGGGAACAGACAGCATTTGCAGCTCGAGCAGAAGAGTGGGTATTTGCTCCTCAAAGAAAAATTGGACCGGGAAGAGTTGTGTGGTGACACGGATCCGTGTATACTGCATTTCCAGGTGTTACTGAAAAACCCGCTGCAGTTTATTCAAGGGGAACTCCAGCTCCGAGATGTAAATGACCATGCCCCAGAATTCTTGGAACAGGAAATCCTCCTGAAAATCCCGGAAAGCAGCCATCCTGGGACTGCAATTCCTTTGAAAACAGCTCAGGACTTAGACGTGGGCAGCAACACAGTTCAGAACTACACCATTAGCACCAACCCCCATTTCCACCTTTTCACTCGCAGTCACAGCGATGGCAGGAGGTACCCCGAGCTGGTGCTGGACAAAACACTGGACCGTGAAGAGCAGTCAGAGCTCAGGTTAACCCTCACGGCGCTGGATGGCGGGTCGCCGCCCAGGACTGGGACTTCCCAGGTTGTCATTGCAGTCCTGGACATAAATGACAACGCCCCTGAGTTTGCCCAGCTGCTCTATGTGGTGCAGGTCTCAGAGAACAGCCCTGTAGGCTCCCTTGTCATCACCGTCTCCGCTAGAGATTTAGATGCTGGGACCCATGGCGAGCTCTCCTACTCGTTTTTCCAATCATCAAATCAAGGCATTCAGGTGTTTGAAATAAACGCAGTCACGGGAGAACTTCGGTTAAAAAGAATGCTGGATTTTGAGGAAATTCGGTCTTACCGTATGGAAATTGAGGCCTCAGACGGTGGAGGCCTTTCTGGGAAATGCACCGTAGCCATAGAAGTGATGGATATAAATGACAACGCCCCGGAACTGACCATGTCATTACTCATCAGTGACATCCCAGAAAACACCCCAGACGCTGTGGTAGCTGTTTTTGGAATTTCAGATCCAGACTCTGGAGACAATGGCAAAATGACTTGTGTCATCCAAGACCATCGCCCCTTCCTACTGAAACTTACTGTAGAAAATTTCTACACCTTGGTAACAGAAGGAGCGCTGGACAGAGAGAGTCAGGCCGAGTACAACATCACCATCACCGTCACCGACATGGGGACCCCCAGGCTGAAAACCCAGCACAACATCACCCTGCTGGTCTCCGACGTCAACGACAACGCCCCCGCCTTCACCCAAACCTCCTACACCCTGTTCCTCCGCGAGAACAACAGCCCCGCCCTGCACATCGGCAGCGTCAGCGCCACAGACAGAGACGCGGGCGCCAACGCCCAGCTCACCTACTCGCTGCTGCCGCCCCACGACCCGCAGCTGCCCCTGGCCTCGCTGGTGTCCATCAACGCGGACAACGGCCACCTGTTCGCCCTGAGGGCGCTGGACTTCGAGGCGCTGCAGGCGTTCGAGTTCCGCGTGGGCGCCACG